AGGTGTTCAGTCTCGTTTTCATTCTCGGGCAGCGAGTACGCGCCCAGAGTCTCCTTAAAGCCCTTTTTCTCTTGATCTGCACGCAGATGTTATGCGGCAGATCATCCCTTCTGGAGGACATCGGGACGATCGTAGAGGCAGCGTTGAGGGCCTCCTGTATTGCCTTTGTCATGTTTGTGGCTGCGGCCTCTACGTCGTCCGCTGTGTTTAAGGGGTGGTGTGCTGGAAGTCTCTCCTGCAGGTGTTTGTGGTAGAGCCTCCAGTCGACACGTGTCTTCACTGTTCTGGGCGGCGTAGTCACCGCCTTTAAGCCAAGGGTAATTAAGATCGGGAGGTGCTGTGATTCCAGGTCGTACAGCACCTCTACCACTATCGGGTAGTTGATGTTCCTAGCGAGCACGATGTCCAGTACATCCGGACGACTTCGTGGATCCGTAGGAATGTGTGTAGGTTCTTCAGGACCTAAAACGTCATAGCCGTATCTTTCGGCGTCTTCAAATAGCGCATGACCCGGCGGGTTGATCAGTCTAGATCCCCACGCCGGGTGTTTGGCGTTTAGGTCCCCGGCGATGATGGTCGGTGTTTCGCCTTCCATTACCGTCCGGACGTCTGAGGAGCAAAATGGAGTCCCTGGCGGGCGGTATGCTGCAAAGATCCTAAGTTCCTCACCCGCCGCCTCCATTTTTATGCCGATAGAGCGCATAGTTTGGTATTCCGGTAGGTCAAGTTCTTGATGGACGATGTCCCTTCTCACTAGGACCGCTGTCCCTCTGTAAGCGGCCCCTTGAGAAGTGACCTCGTCCCTCCTATACAGATGGTAATTGGGCAGCCTTATGCGTGTACTCGGATTTAGTTTCGTCTCTCCCAGCAAGATGACCTGTACGTCTTGTTGTTGGGCGACGGTGCGGAGTTCTTGTAACTTCTGCGGGATTCCACCTGGATTCCAGTAGAGGAGGCGCAGGTTAGACTCCTCCACTGTAGTGCCGGGCCAGTAGATTAGCCAGCGCCTTCATCACCGCTGTAATCGGATCTGTCCCGGCTCTAATATCAGCCAGGACTTGACTGCCGACCTCGATTGCTATGCCAACCAAACGTTGGATGGCGTCAGCAGTCTCGAAGCCGGCTGGAGGTGTTCTGGGTGCATGTGCGGAAGCCGCTGGTCTCGGGAGTTGGTGTACGTCTCTTTGTTTATGGGTAGAGCGCGCTCTATGTGTAGAGCGGGCTCTATTTTCTGATAGAGCCCTTTCTGGCACTCTACCCATTCTGGCTTTCTTATCTTCCATGGTAACCTGCGCCTGGGCTATCGTTACCGCTGGGGTTGGGGTAGAGGTTGCTGCCTGAGGAGGAGGCTGCACCTTCTTCTTCTTCTTCCTCCCCCCGCTTACTCCTCTGAGAGGTTTGGCGCTCTATGGCATCATTAGCGGGGGGCTGAAGAGTCGCCCCGGTGGTTGCCTTAGTTGTAATCATGGTGGGCACCACCGTTCCTGTGGGTGCCGTGACGGGTGGAGGGGGGGCAGGTTGCCTTCCTTTTCCTCTAATGGTGGTCCACCCGTCTTCCTGAACCACGGCCCTGGGACGACTTTGGGGGACCCTCTTGGGCTCCTCTGGGAGTAGTCCCGGTAGAGTGATCCCCTGCTTCCTTGCAATCCTCCTCAGGACTGGGCAGCGGCGATCGTTAGCGGTATGGTTCTTGGCGCAGTTAGCGCATCGCGGTTCCTCATCTCTACCCCTTGGGCAGTTGCTGGCTATGTGGTCTCCGGCACAGCGAACACACTTCACTGGCCTGAAGCAATTCGTAGAAGCGTGGCCAAAGGCCTGGCAGCGGTGGCACTGTGAAGGGCCCGCTCTTCCTTGCCAGGCCTCTATGACGACTCCTCTCATGAAGAGGTGCTCGTCGACTTGGTAGAGTTCGTTAAGGCGCTCCAGGCTCAGGTGGTCCAGCTGCGCGAAGTAGAGGCACCCAGGTCTGCCTCTACGGGGGGGGGGATCCCTTTTACGTATCTAATCGGGAACCCCTTTGCCCTGATAGCCCCCTCTATCGCGGTTGGATCCGTGCCCACTGGTAGTCTCCGAATGCCCACTTTCGTGGGCTTGTCCTCCTCGGGGGTGTAGCAGTACCAGGACATAGCTGGTACTTTCTCTGTCATCTCTATAAGGTACTTTTGTACCGTCCGGAATTCTTCCGGACTCTGGGGGGTAAATCTTACTCCCTTGCCGAATGGACCAGCATTCGGTGGGTGGCCCAGTTTCTTGTTTAGTGCCTCGAAGTGCTTCGTCCAATCCGGCAAGCACTCTGCCACTATTGGTGGGTACCTTTTCGCCGATTCTTCCGGCGGTTTGGGTGTTTCGGCAATCTTTGTCCTTGGTACTGCCGGGGCAGCTACCAGTTGGGCATAGCTGGTGGAAGGCCTCTGACCATCGTCCGATGGCCGGCCTGAAGGGTTGGTGGTAGGCGCGGATGGTGAGTGTCCGGCAGATGTCCTAGGTGCCAGGGTTGCATACGTGGTTGCACTCCATCCGTATGACCCTTCTCCTCCCTGCTCTAGATCAGCAGCATCCATGCTGGTGTGTTCCGGTGTTCTGGGGGGGGGGTGGTTTTAGTCGGCGATGGCGATTTAGGAGGTGATCTTCTAATCGGCTTTTTCGGTTGGTGATCCGATTCTCCCCCGGATGAAGAATAATCCGAGGAGTTGGTGGTACTATAGCATCGCCTCTTCTCCTGGAGGGATGCTGCTGTTTCTGCAGGCGTATGCCTTCTCTGGGTCTTCTTTGCCCGCTGGGGTTGGGGGAACGGTTCCCGCCCAGTCGTACCTCCAGGTACGATGGGCGAGAGCGCGGTCCTCGGTGCGGGCTCCTTACCCGGGGAGGAGGGTTTCCTTGTTGGGATCTGAGAGTAGGAGGACACTACTCTAGTCCTTTCAGGATCAAATATGTCGCGGTACGCGATAGGACGGTCTAGTACACCAGGACGGTCGGGTGGTCTTCTGGGTTTGGGTTTAGGTGGAGGCTCCCCTTTGTCCTTATCGGACATGTTGAAACCTACCTAAAGTCAGTCAGGTATTCTTTTTGGCCCTGTCTAAAAATTGCCAGCCGATTCGGCACGAAGCGCGACGCGGAAGGCGGAGTGTAAATCGTAGTTGGCGTATTCACAAAACTGGGCACTGCCTACCCCTTTTGTCAGCAAAAGGGTTGGGGGAAGTGCGACGGTGGCACTTTACGACGCGACTAGGCACAGGATGCTCGGAGCGCATAAAGTGCCCAAGAATCACCTAGGGGCCGGTGACCTCGACGCCTCACGGAATCACGGGACTCAACGTTCGGCGGAGTATGTCGTACCGGCGGTCATTTACAGCCACTGCTAACTGCAAACAACGCACACCTAGGAGATCCTTGATAACGGCAATCAGTGACTTAAGTAGCAAGTTAACAATTAAGTTGAACGGGATAATAATAATAATAATAATAATAATAATAATGTTTTATTTGCTGTAACAGTTTAAGTACTTAGAATATATGTGACCAGTGTCTCCTTTTAAGCTTGAATCAGCCTGTGCCAGGGGACACTGCTCTTCCTTAAAATAGGTCATTTCTTACAAGAAAACTTAATAAATAATAATTACGAAACAAAATAAAAATATGTAAGTAACAATAATATATGTGGTCTAACAAAAATGACTTAATATACTTATTTATTTACATTTATAAATCAGCCAAAGCAACTTAAGCAACATAAGCCTGAATGCGCGCGCGCGTGTGTGTGTATGTGAGTGAGTGTGTGTGTGTGTGTGTGTGTGTGTGTGTGTGTGTGTGTGTGTGTGTGTGTGTGAGTGTGTGAGTGTGTGAGTGTGTGTGTGTGTGTGCGTGTGTGTGTGTGTGTGTGTGTGTGTGTGTGTGTGTGTGTGTGTTGTTTGTGGTGTGTGAAACTGAGTGGTGTGTTTGTGTGTAAAATTCTAAAATAATATAATGTAATTTAATTATTGCTTCATTACTCTAGAAGAGCCTCAGTGTCATCGTAAGACTTAGGGAGTAGCCATATCTTAAGAAGTCTTCTACATTCAAAAAAGACTTTATCATATATTCCCAATACCTTGTTTGCTGTATTATATAGATGTCCTGACCGTTTGGTATATTGTCTTTTAGCAAAGGCAGTGTTGCTTCGAGGAGCTCGTACAACAATGTCATGTCTTCTCCTATTCTTGATATCAGGATTGTAAGGCAAGGATAAATGTTTTCTTAAAACTGCCTGCATTATGTATAATTTCCTAACAGAAAGAATACCAGTGTTTTGGTAAAGACGCTCGGTCGAGAACCCCAAATTTTGAAAACACATGGTCTTAATTAGTCTTCGCTGGGCCCGCTCTACCTCAATAAAACGGGTTTTGGCAGCACCACCCCAGATAGATATACAATATATCAAGATAGATTGCACCAGCGAGTAATATATTTTAATAAGGAGACCTTTTTCAGAGCTAGTTTGGTTGTCAACCATCCTGGGCACCACGTATCTCAGCATCCTGAAGATCCAGATTAATTTTCTGAGTCTTGAGGAAATATATTCCAGCTGCGGATACCATGACAACCTCTGATCTACATAGACGCCTAGGTATTTTACTTGGTCAACTTTCTGAATTTCAGGACAACTACAAGTTTTTACATTTGGGCTTGGGTTTTTACATTAGCGGGATAGCCGGCCGGTCTATTTTTCGGCAAGTTAAGTTCGAAGTGTTGCCTTCCCGCGCGTCTCCCGCCACCCGCAACTTAACTCGCCGTTCGTGTGAACAAGCGAGTTTAGTTCAGTGCTAAAGTTGACAGGACGCAACGTGTTCGCGTTCGACCATCAAAATACAAAGTTGTATTTTTTTAACTAAACACGTAAGAAGACATAAGACATTCGAACGCTACTGTCCACTTAACCATTTACCGTCAATTGCCCTGTAAATAAACTCGCTACTGTACTTGTCGAAGTAGAAATCGGCTATAAATGTCTGCTTGTGCGTTACCTGCTGGTGCAGGTCGTCGCGGTCGCGCTGCAGCAGCTCCAGGTCGCGGGCCAGCGCGTGCATCTGCGAGCGCGGCGACACCTCGTCCAGCGACCTGCAGCCAGTCCGCCGCACAGTAACACCGCATGTGCCATACCTAGAAAATATCCCACCATTATTTTTCAATTCCATCTGGTGGTAAATGGTGATGAAACGCCAAACGGTAAATCGCACTGTCGTGGCGTAAAAGAAACCTATTCACTCTTGCCTTGAAAACGCTCAAACCGTATTCGGGCGGATAGACAGACGCCAGCAAATTATTCCACTCCTTTGCTGTACGCGTTATAAAAGATGATTCTAATGCGTGGAATATCAACAACAGCGGGATTACATCCCATCTGATAGTACGTGATACAGTGCACTGACTTAGATTATCATAATCCTATTCATTGCCTTGAAGAATGATAATAATGTCCTCCACACGTTATTAGATAACAACCGTCAGTCTGAACGGGGACTATTTATCTGCGTAGGACATATTATGGTCCTTGCCGCGCTCTCACAGAATACCAGCGTAAAATAGCTGCTTAATACTACTGTGTTTCGTATGGTGAGTGTAAAGAACCGGAGACCCTTATTTATGGGAAACGAGGCATTCCATCTTAGTCCTTACGGGTGGCAACGCATCCTGCATTTTAATTCATAATCGAGGATATATGGAGATGACTGTGGGCTACAGAATCCACTTACCATCAGATGGACCGTGTGCTGTTTTGTCACTCTTATTCCCTTTATTAAAAAGTCGCCTCTCTAAATAATTATTTTAATTAATAATATTTTTGTATTGGAGGCCGGCACCTAAGCTTACTCGCATCTTCGCTACAGTGGAATTTACAGATATTATAAAAAAATTTAATGTATTTATTGTTTAAACATGATTCGTGTAATTTAAGCAACTCTAAAAATAAAAATTTCAACAAACAATAAATTAAAAAAACAAAAGGTTCGACTAGGACTGGATGTTTTTAAATATTTGAATATTTTCACCAATTATTAAACAGTACGTTAAGGTGCATAACGGCATATCATTGAAACAACGTCAAGCATAAGAGTTGATTCTGGTAATTTGTTTATAATTTGCTTTGTTAGAGACAATTTTGGATAGTTTTTAATAAAATATTTAATAACTTCATACTTCCTTTGATTTACGTGAAATGTTATTTAAATTGTGTAATTACGCTTGTTCAAAGTTATTGCGAAATTAATGTGAAACGCAAAAGGTTTTCTTAAATTTGGTTTGCGTGTGCGTAAGTGCGATTGTCAATCTGTCTGCCAGTTGTGACGATGAAGGCAAATCCTCCTGAGACTCATATCAAGCAGAGGACTTTTATGAGCTGAGGAAGCTTTTACAAGTGTAAGTAGATTTTACGAATTTGTTTAATGAGGGCTAATGAGGAGATCTTCCGCTCACCAGGTGTCGCTACTTGTAACTGAAGTGAAGTTGTGGCCGTGAAAGGAAAAGGGGAGATCTCCCGCCGGGCAAGGTGTTCTGCCCGGGGAGCGGCCAACGCTCCATGTTCGGAGATGTTCTATATATGCTGTTTATGATTCGGAATGTTAATAGCGTGATTTAAGCTTCGGTGTGTTACGCTTGCGGCGCGACGACAGCGCCGCCACAAAGTTTTTTGTTACACAATGTCATTTAATTGAGGTTGGTTTTCAATAAAAGTTTACCAGATTATAGAGTATTATACTAATAGACAAAACAATGCCTTATTGGCTTGATGTTTATGTTTTTGCATATTTTTACCTCTTTTTTTTATTTTTCTACTTTAATGAATATGTGTAGTTTGGTTTTCTTATTTCTAATCTAATTTATATAAAATATAAATAATAACGCAGAAAACAAACATTTACCTTTACATTTTTTGAACAAATTTACTTCCCCACTATGAAATCTATCAGATATTGCACCTCATTTTTTAGTGGCGCCACTGTGGTGACAGAAAAAGTCACTGATTACAACAGGCTCTAGAGAATGGTATTCCACAAGGTTCATTGCTTGGACCTTTAATATTTCTTATATTTGATACTGATTCGCATTTTCTTAAATAAAAGTTACTTGTGGTAGGGCATAAGATTATACAACTTTTAATATAGAAACTATTTCCGTACATAGTGCTAATATAAAGAATAAATAAAATAAAACGAACCCTTCGACTATGACGTCAGTGGAATCTCCGCGGTCGGTCATCAGCTGGGCGATCTTCATCATGGCATCGTCCAGGTCAGAGCGCAGCAGGTTTTCGCGCTGCAGGCACTCTGCCGTTGTCTCCTCCATCGTCTGCACGCAAGTTCATGCTTTGTAATTACCAATAATCAGAACCGGAAGTTTCCAGAAAAAGGAGATGAGCAGCATCTTTCTTATGATAACAACGAAAATAACAAAAAGGACAGTTGTCAACCCGTCTGCAAAGCGTGGCAGCTATGGCAAATACTCCCTTTGAGGCAATCTATAGGATGGATAGATGGAGCTTCGTCTTCATCAGCCCGTACAAGTCTTACAAGTAGCATTGTTTCTTTTAATTAAAAAATACCCTCACATTAGGAATATCTAATATATCGTGAAAACAGTTTAAATATATTTATTGTTCAAGGACAAACATCTAAAACTTGAATAATTTGTAGGCCAATATTTACATTACCAATACTAACTTGTTCCCTGCCGCATTTAATCCCGTAACCCTCAACACTGCAACTCAATTCTAAACCACTACGCCAAGGAACCGACAATAAAAGTAAAAGCCGGCTACAAGTAACGAAATAGAGCAAAATGTTTTCCACGTAACAGCTTCATCGTTTAAAACAACGTGTACGTATGAATCAAAGCCCCGACTTCAGAAATTAAATCACGTGGAAATAAATTTTTTACACTTTTAAATTAACTTTTACAGTGTCACCAACATATTTGTCCATTTTATAAATGACGTTTCGTTCTCAGCTATTATTTACTCTGTGCTGTCAGGTGAGTGCCTTGTTTGATTTTATTGTAGTAAGTGTGTTTTGTTTGATTTCATTGTAAAAAGTGCAAATAATATGTGTAGTCACTTTTTTACACAGTAAATTTCTTAAGCGGCAATAGTAAGCTCTCCACTAGAGACTTTGTTCGTGGCACTATACATATATTAAAAGGTAAATTTTTTTGGTAGTACAGTTGATGTTGATGATGAAGAATATTATTTGAAGCTCAAATAGTACGTACAATATTATTTGAAGCTCAAATAATATTCTACACCAGTCCGGTTATATCCGAAGTTAATATCCGACAACCAGGCAAGTTGTCGTGGGCATTACTGAATGTTTTTGGATATAATTTTTTGGTTCTTTTCTCCGTTGCCGCTATTGACATTCAACGTTTAGCATACACGAAATGCTGTCCTGCCATCAGTCGGAATCCCCTTAGTCACCTCTTACGACAGGATGAAGAGCCATGTTATTGTATTTACTAATATTGTTTACCTTTTTGAGCAATTCACAATTATCACAGGATTTCTGCTTGGTGTCCGAATCTTGTTGTAGCTCTGTTATTTCCACTTGACTCGATTCCAACATATTTGTCTGGGGTTGGCCTTCTAAAACAAATATAACATAAAAATTAATACCAATTACTTATAGAACGATGGATGAAGGTGGCTCAGAGTTGCTATAATGATGATAATGAACCCACAGAACGGGTGTGACATCGATAAACTTTTTAATCAGCTCTCGATGGTAATCATCTAAAGGACTATAAATGTACTATCATTTTCATTGTAAGCCAAAAATTATGTTTAAAAAAAAGAAATTATGCCTTCCCTGAGGCAGACCTCATACAAATGAGGCAAAGCTTATAACTTTTAAATAAATTTTTACAAATAAATTTTTGCAGATAGAATATTCGTTGTTATTATTTTTTAGTTAGTATCCTGATCACTGTGCAAGGCTTAACCTACTCGATTAAATTAAATGAAAATTAAAATTAAAATAAATTACAATATCAGCGAAAAAGCACACGCGTGACTCTAAAACACAAATGATATAGAAGACTATTTATATGAGATATTTTACGTATGTGTACGTATGTATGTATATACATATATGCGCGTCTAAACGTGGGCATATATTTGCGATGAGATTGTTTTTATTAAAAACATGATTTCTTACATTAAAAAAAGAAGAAACAACTATGGGATGTTTATTTCCCCTAGAACATCGTTATATCTTACTTTAATTTATGCTGAAGAAAACTTAAATATATACACATATGCACTACGTATGTTTATACGTACACAAATAAGAATTTATGAACGTATGCATGTACGAATGTATGTGCGTATGTAAGTATGCACGTAAGTACATATAGACGTATACATGCACATATATTTGTACATACACAGGGTTGGCATGATCAAAACAAGTTGTTTTAAAACACGTGTTTAAAACAGGTTTTAAAACAAATTGAAATAAAACATTGTTTTTTTAATAATTGTTATTTATGTAGGCACGTATGCATGTACGTACATATGCACGTATATGCAGGTATGTTCGACTGTATGTATGCACGTATGTACGTAAATACGTATACATATATATGTACACATGTACTTGCGCTTGATGTCCACGCTGACGTCCCGTTGCTCACACTGCTCCCGCAGGAACTGACACTACGTACTGTAGGCAAGGCGCGCCGACAGGTGGAGCAGCTCGTGCGCCTCGTGTCGCAGCCGCAGCAGCGCATGCTTCAGCTCGCGCTTGATATCCGCGCTGAGGTCCCGCTGCTCCCACCGCTCCCGCAGGAGCTGACACTACGTACCGTTAGCAAGACGCGCCGACAGGTCGAGCAGCTCGTGCGCCTTGTGTCGCAGCCGCAGCAGCGCATGCTTCAGCTCGTGCTTGATGTCCGCGCTGAGGTCCCTGCTGCCACCGCTCCCGCAGGAGCTGACACTACGTACCGTTGGCAAGGCGCGCCGACAGGTCGAGCAGCTCGTGCGCCTTGTGTCGCAGCCGCAGCAGCGCATGCTTCAGCTCGCGCTTGATGTCCGCGCTGAGGTCCCGCTGCTCCCACTGGTACCGCAGGAGCTGACACTATGTACCGTAGGCAAGGCGCGCCGACAGGTCGAGCAGCTCGTGCGCCTTGTGTCGCAGCCGCAGCAGCGCATGCTTCAGCTCGCGCTTGATGTCCGCGCTGAGGTCCCGCTGCTCCCACCGCTCCCGCAGGAGCTGACACTACGTACCGTTAGCGAGGCGCGCCGACAGGTCGAGCAGCTCGTGCGCCTTGTGTCGCAGCCGCAGCAGCGCATGCTGCAGCTCGCGCTTGATGTCCGCGCTGAGGTCTCGCTGCTCCCACCGCTCCCAGTGCTCCCGCAGGAACTTACACTACGCACTGTTGGCGAGGCGGGCCGACAGGTCGAGCAGCTCGTGCGCGTGTGTGTCGCAGCCGCAGCAGCGCGTGCTCCAGCTCGCGCTTGATGTCCGCGCTGAGGTCCCGCTGCTCCCACTGCTCTCAACAGGAATTGCCACTACGTACTGTTAGCGAGACGGGCCGACAGGTCGAGCAGCTCGTGCGCCTCGTGTCGCAGCCGCAGCAGCGCGTACTCCAGCTCGCGCTTGATGTCCGCGCTGAGGTCCCGTTGCTCCTGCAGGAACCCTGCAGCTCCCTGCTCGTCCAGCGCCGCGAGGATGGACTGTAGCTCCGGCGCGAAGTGCACGTGACGCCCACGCGACACCAAGCTGCTGTCCAGCTCAACGCTGCAGTTAAGGGATGCACGAGACTCTTCACAGAATGATCTGAAAACAGACATCATCGAACTTATAAGTAGTTTAAACATTGTCTTTTTCTCAACGATATCAGATTTCAAACTCCGTAATTTACACATATCATAGAATACTATAATACATAGTACATATCATAGAATACTATAACACATAAATAATAGAACGGGGGAGTGGGCGGAGTCCGTGTAGCCACTAAAATGTCACTGACATGTCAATTCATACGTATAAATGTCAATACGAGATGTGTTTTGACGTTACAATCGTTTCCAAATTTCGCATGCAAATTATTTAGAATATGCCAAATTGCACACTTTTTACAAATAAATATGTATTAAGCCTAAATGTGTAAATTTACTCAGTCTCTCAACACAGCAAATCGGGTTTATAGTAGTAGTAATACGAGGTAATTGCTTGTATTTGTGCTTCCGGCGAAGCCAATCCTCGTACAAAATAAGGTGGACAGCCATTCGATTTTGTATTATAGTATTCAATGATACATATATATTGAAGTTTCTATCAATAATATTAAAATACCTGACTTCTACTCAGCTTGGGGGGTTATTTGCAAACTATTACGACACAAATAACCAATTATTTTTTTAATATGAGGGGCGTTCAATGTATACTCGGTATTAGGCGATTAGCTTATAATGTGGGTAATTAAAAAAATCATTAGCTAACGACTACTACCTGAAGATATAAATAAGAAATTTCGTGTCATGAACTTCATTTCTTCTTTTGTAGCCTTCAGTCATAGACGACAGGAATGACTGATTCGATAATGTAGAAATAAATCGAACGCCGTGCGGTGTATAAAATGCTCACTAATAAAGGAAAACTTAAAAAAAATATCCGTTACGAAATGGTAGCCTTTTACCACCAGGACTCTATACTCCTTTAATGTCAACCATACAAAAGTGGTATAGAAAGTGGAAGGCAGGTAAAGCATCGAAGATTACCCCTGCCCGGGTGGGCCAACCACAGCAGCTACAGAAGAAAATTAATCAAAAACTTGTATTAGAAGATGCATGACTAAGAATTAAACTACATAAGAAAATATAAACACACCTGTCACCCAGAGCGGTAGGCAGAGACTACGGACTACCATTTGGCACGATCCTGAAATACCGCTTTCACCTCCTTTACATCCATATATCTACGCATACATGCTCGTCGGTTAAGGGTACCACCTCTAATGTGGCCCATTTTCAAAATATCGCCAATTTGGTCGATAAACTTTCCTCTAGGGCGTCCCTTACCGACTATGCCGTTCACATCTGCCATATAAATTTGCTTTGTCACTCTTTCCTCATTCATTTTTTCTACATAACCAAACCACCGAAGCATTCCTTTCTTAATCTTGGTCATAATATCATTTGCATACCACATTTATCTCTTATCACGCAATTTCTCATAGTGTCATTCAGATTCAATCTTAGCATACTCCTTAAAGACCGCATTTCCACAGCATTTATTCTACTTTCGTGTTTCTTCTGCCACACCCAACTTTCACTGCTATACATTAAAGTAGGGGCTAACACAGCATTATGAATTACCATACGTGCCTTTTTTGATACATTCTGGTTCTTCACAATAGAGTGTGGTGCCCCATTCACTCTATTCCCTGCATTTACTCGTCGTTCTATATCCTTATTATATCTACCATCCCTGCTAAATACACATCCCAAATACACAAAATCATCCACTTACTCAATCAACTCCCCTTCTATTCTTATTTCACATAACGTTTTGTTTTCTTCTCTTTCAAAAACCATCACTTTCGTCTTAGTTGCGTTCACTTTCATTCCTCTTTCTTTTAATTCCCAGTTCATTAATGTAATCATCATTTACAACTCAGCCGCCAACGACGCAAATATGACTTACGGCGTACAACAGGCATTAGACGGTTAACTCGCCCATTCTAAACCCACATTCTTCGTCTTTCAAAGTTTGCAAACAATTGTCCATAAATAAGTTGAACAGCCAAGTAGAAGCTACACAGCCCTGCTTGACACCTTTTTGGACGCCATACCAGTCAGAGTAGACCCCGTTGATCCTGACACAAGCACTAGAGTCCCTATAAAGAGACCTTAATGCTTGTATCAAGCCAGCGCTCAACCCATATGAGTTCAGTGTTTGCCATAACACAGTCCTGCCCACTTTGTCATAAGCCTTTTCCAAGTCCATGAACGCACAAAAAACTTTCTGGTTTTTGGCCAAAAACTTCTTCGCAATCATGCGCATGGAAAAGACTTAATTTGTACACCCCATTCCCTTTCTAAATCCCACTTGCACATCCAATTTTTCCAATCGAATTTTTCCATCAGTTTCTTTCATAACTTTTTCAATTAACACCTTAGCATACAGTTTACCCACAATACTAAGCAAGCTAGATACCACGGTAGTTTTTGCAGTCCTGCTGTGACCCTTTTCCTTTATATATTGGTACTATAACTGCTTTACACCAGTATTCCGGTACCCGTTTTAATTCCCAACATAAATTAAACATGGTGTACAGCAGACCTGCCACCACTCCCTCTCCAGCCCTTAGCATTTCGAGTGATACTCTATCATATCCAGCTGCCTTACCTGCTTTCATGCTTTTCATTGCTTTCATTATTTCATCTACACTTATCTCCATACCCCTTTCCACTTCTTCAGACGACTCTTCACTCATAAACATGCTTTCAAAGTATTCCTTCCATATTTTTAAATTCGAAACTTCGTCACTCAGAATACATCCATTCTCGTCTCTTATACCATTAATTATAGGCTGTTTTGTATTTTCCCTGGCAGTTCTTACGAGTTTCCAGAACATTTTTATATTAGTTTTCAGATATCCTTCTATCATTCTTATCCGTTCTTTCTTGCTTTTTCCTTTTAACTATTTATTTTACTCTCTTATTTAGACGTCTAAATTCTGCCTTTTTTCTTTCAATCTCATCATTTATACCACCAGAATTACCAGCTTTGGTTGCTAGTAAATCTAACCATGCTCTCTTCTTCACTTCAACTTCCACCCGTAACTCATCATCCGACACAAAGTATTAATTTTCCTTTCATTTGTTCTCTTACTTACACCACATACTTCGGTGGCTGCATCCACCAAACCTTTCTTAACATTATCCCACAGAGTATTCAAGTCTAAATCATTCATACACAACTCATTCAAACACCTAATATTTTCCCTCAGTCTACATTTATACTTCTCTTTCACATCTTCATCTTGTAACTTCTATATTCTTATACGCTGTAAAGCAGTGGTAGATACAGATGTCCAATGCCGCCAACGCTTAAAAAGACCATTAATTTGATATAAGACCAAGTAATGATCCGTCCCTACGTTGGACCCCCGGTAAACCCTTGTATCTACGACTGCGCTCCTAATTATTTCATCCACAATTATGAAATCTATCATGCTTCTATCATCACCTCTTTCCCATGTATACATGTGAATCTTCTTATGACGAAAAAAGTATTCGTAACAAAAATATTATTTTTCACACATACGGTAAGGAGGTCTTCACCATTCTCATTTATACTTTCATCACCAAACGTTCCCAAGATCCTTTCATAACCTCTTCACCCCAACCCTTCCATTAAAGTCTCCTAACATAATAATATTTTCATTTTCCTTACAATTCGTCAACACCATCCTTACCATATCCCAAAACCGCTCTCGGATGAAAGTGGGCTTAGACATGTCTGGGGCGTACACCCATAGCAGAAACAGGTTCTTTAAGCATTGATACTCTTTCACAAATTGACCCATTCTTTCTGAAAGGATGAAACCGACTCCCTGGCATGCCCGTTCGGTCTCATCTACACCCGACCAATACGCGTTATACGTGCCATGTGCAGTGGCATCCTTTCCCTTTCGTTTCGTCTCATATACACATAACACATCTATTCCTCTGTTATTCATCATTTCGCATACTTCATCCATCTTATCATTCATTTCTTTATATATATTTAGCGTAGCCAGACGGGCTTCCGCAATCCACTTTTCGCCCCTCCGGGAGACAGAACGTGACGGGTGACAAACCTCGTCGCCTGTTTTACTCCCGGAGTTCCTTCGCACCCCTGCCCCAATAAAGGGGCGCCGGGAACTCGGGGCCATTTCTTTTATTTCATGACTCATGGTGCGAACTAGGGGTGATGGTCGAGTTTACGCCGCTACCATACGGCGAGGAGCCGAGTCTATTTTTTTGGCTTTGTCGCTCATTTAGCACCACCCGGGGACCACGTGTAGGGTAGGCCTAGGGTTAGGTGGTCGAAGCCTACGGACGCGAGCAACTCGTCCCCCAAGAATAAAATGTAAGTAGAAATGACTAACCTATCCGTTGGTACCATCCATACACATCATATTGCATGACTACTGACCCTCCCCCCAAGAAGTACAAAGTCACTCCATCGGCCGGTAAAATCATAGCCACAGTGTTTTGGGATTCCAAAGGAATACTATTGATCGAGTACACAAAAAAAGGTGAAACCATCAACGCAGACAAATACTCAGCCACTTTACGCCGTTTGAGAGAAACAAAAAAAGAAAAGAGAAGACCAAAGGAGTGACCAAAGGAGTGCTGTTTCTTCATGACAACGTATCAATTCATACGGCGCGGCTCTCCAAGGGATGTACGAGACTGCGGGTTTGAGGAAATTATCCACCTACCATACAGCTCAGATCTAGCCCCTAGTGACCACTTTTAATTCCCAAACTTTTAAAAAAAGATCTTCGGAGAAAGCGATTTGCTGATGATAATGACCTCTAGTCCGTTAAAAATGAGCATTTTTCAGGTCAAGACGAAGAATATTTTTTCAAGGGAATAGAAAAGCTTTTTTCACGAACAAGTTAATGTATTGATGCCACTTGAGACTATATTGAAAAATAAAAAAATATTTCATAATTTTATCTTCTTTCTATACAGAGAACACATACATTGAAGGCCCCTCTTATATCTGTCCGTCTGTCTGTGCGGGCTAATCTTCAAAATAGCTAAACCTATTGTGAT